AGTGGAACACATGGCTCCATGCTTTGAAGAATCACTAGCGTTGGTGTTGTTTTACGTCATAGTGTTACTATCCTTACACACCTCCTTCTGTCTTCTTCGAGGTTAAGGAGTCCGTCTAAGGCCTGCAATCGAACCGGGACCATATGACTAGCTGTCGGGCGTTTTACCACCGAACGACTGACACTTACCATGACTACTACTACTACTACTACTATACTCGTGAATATTTCTTATTCTGGGATTTTCAACATAAACAATGAGAATACAGGCTTGTTTTAGAAAAGTTATTATTACCGCTTTGTTTTAAACCAATCTTGACCTTATTCCTTTGATTTTATTACTATAAGAACTGCTGTGTGTATTGATTTATTGATATACAGATAATCTATCACATGCTTTCAGTGTGGGTTATTATCCTGTGACCAATTAATTGCTAAGATATGTGATCATTATTTGTGTGTTGACTACTTTATTCATTTGGGGGGAAGTTGAATTAGCTCTAATAGACTTATTATTATTATTATTATTATACACAAAGCTTTGTTCACCATTTAACAGTTTAAGTTATCTCTGACACAGCCGTGAAATTCAGTTATCCAATCATCAAAAGATATGTGTAATGTGGTGCAACGGTGTACTCTCCATTTTAATGAAATAACCGTTGAAAGTATAAGGATGTTAAATGACAAAACTTTTTTTTTCACTAAGCGTGTCAGTTTTCAGTCACTCGAGGTAAGTAGTAAAATGTGTTGGGCAGGAAGGGTTCGTTTGATATGTTTTGAAATGCATCATCTCTGGAGCAAGAGAGAAAGTTAGTCTGTGAAATTGTGAAGATGCATCTGTTGGCTTGGCTACGGTACACGTGTTACGTATGTCAAGCAAGCAGTCACCTTCCACGACGAGAACTTGTAGCCGATATACAGTAAGGTTGGAAGAAGTTAGTAATCGTCAGACAAAAATATGGTAATAATCCACGAAGCCTTTCATTGTTGGTTTGATCCATTCACGTACGGAGATGCTGACTGTCTTGTATGGGTCCTTAGGATACTTGGAGATTGCTTGTAATGTTATTCAAAATCAATCTCGATGTCACATGCATATATATATATATATCCTTTTCTAACTAAGCCTCATCTAACTAGTCTTCGCCTGCTGTGATTTCGATACATTTCCCCTTTGTCCATTCACTTTTATGTATACCTTTCCGGTGTGTGACATTTATAACCCACTTCAGTTTAGTTTATCCTTCTTGAAAACTTCAAAAGAGTGGTATTCAAAAAAAGGCTGATTACTAGTGAACAAAGAATATTCTTTCCGATGATGATGAAATGAAGTTGTACTAAGAACCATCAACAGGTCAAAACAGGCCATAAAGGCAGCACACTGAAGAATCTTCTTCTATCATCTATGAGATACGAAGTAAATCGCAGAAACTCTCTAGCTAAAGAACATTCTAAAGAGCAGAAGTTACTGCAATTCGCCTATAACAACCGGAGCTATGCGTTTAAACAAAACAGGTCAAGTCACTACTTCTACTTTGGCTGGCTACTTGTAGAACCTATAAATTCATAACTTCCGTATCATTTTCTTCAATTTACCGGACATTTAGATGCATATTATCACTTGCATTTGATTCTGAATTGTAATCTATCGATTGTATTGATTCACTGTTACTTAACATAGATGTTACTCTCAGGAAAATACACAGACTCTTAGAAACATTTTAAAAGATAAAGACTACGACTCTTTTAGTGAACAAGAACTAGATGGTAATATCACAAATATAACATGTAATCTTAAATTCTGTCTGGATGTTTGCCACCAAAAAAAGAACACTCCTCGTAAAATGTGGAAGTTCTTCCTTTTTTTCAACTTAAGAAGCCTCACCGAGAGAAGAAAAGGTTATGTAAAGTGAAAGATAACGCTAGTATAAAACGACTGAACAATTTGTTCGAGTTGTACATACACAGACTGAAAATCCTTACCATTCAGAATATCTTCAAATATGTGGAAAATAATCTAGGAAACTACTGGTGGAAAGTAAATAAATAATGATCCTGCTTCACATGGTTTTAGCACACTCAGTAAGTCCTTCTGACTTCATTCAGAAGATTTGATGATTTGTGATGCTACAAATCGCCTACTAATCCTATAATTATTCACTCCTTTCCAACATCTATACATCTTATGCAATATTCTGTCTATATATGACATTGATTGTTTTGGCTACTTAACATTTAACTATGATTATAATCAAAAATATTTTGATTGCATTTCATACTATTATTATTATTATTATTATTATTGTTATTTCACTTATTCACACCTTTGACCTAATTCCCTCCCTCACCGGATATAACTTCTTGAAAACCATATTATATATATAGGACTGTACAGCTTGATAATAAATTCGTTGTGGAAAAGAGTCTCTTCGTTGGATATTGTGTTCGTAATGCTACAATGGAATTATTAAATTATCTCTTTTCACCGTGTATCACTATATTTGCTTTGTTGTCCACATTTTAACTATTTCATGATGGACGACTACTCAGAGGAATCCTACTGTCTCCTGACTAACGCTGCATTCTTCCACTGTGTCTATCAGATATTATTCACCTGACACATTCTACAACCTCAAACTAAGCTGCCAATTCTTCTTCCCCAGGGACATTGTTTGAATTTATTATGACTAACTAGTCTGGCACTCTACAATATTTTGTAGTGTCAATGCGCTCAAGTTATCTGTCATACAATAATACAACTTCTTCTTCTTGTCATCCCATGTCTAATCAACCTTTCTATGTCAAAAATAAAATATGTCCATCAAATAACTGGTTGTTGTTTTAAATTGTGTAAATATTATATTTTCTAACTGTAAGAAGCTGGTGTGGTGTTGGCGTTGGGGCTGAGGCTGGGCCTGGGCTGGGGCTGAAATTACTGACCACAATGTCTTCTATTCAGAACGGCCTTTTAATTCATGTGACGTGAGAACATTTGTTGTCATTGGTAAATCTGCTTATACTGTATGATGTGTTGATAGTCTCCTTAACTTATACATACATACGCCTACGCATTTTTTCAATGTAGATTCAATGTGATTGAAGTCGAGCCCCTCTATACCATCCATACACATAAATGTTGATCTGACTTTTTCAGTCACTTTCTACCCCCACTATAACTGACTGACTCAGTAGAGGATCGTATGATGTCAACAAATAAAAACAAAAAAAAACAAAATATACATTAACTGCTATTAGAAATATGCTTAACACCTACCTATGAGTCATGCATACAATGTCCTTATTTTATGACAGTTAAAATAATATAATGTCAATCCATGTTAGCTATTTGGCTAGCTAGCTGGCTGGCTGGTAGGTAGCTAGCTAAGTAGAAAGGGCTGACTGGAGTTAGCCTGACAACTAAATAGGAGATAAATTTGTCCTTTTAGGTAGCAAACATATTGAATTAAGAAGACAGAAAATTACAATTGACGAGAAAGCATACAATGACTGTGAGAGGTCAATTGCATACTTTAAACTATAGCACCTTTGGTTAAATTACACTCTCTCGGAATATAGGCATTTAGCTAGCTAGCTGGCTAGATCTAGAATGAAGCATCGTCCCACTAATCTAGCCAATGGCTGGTCAAATCATTCACCTGCTCATACTCACAATGGATTTCGATAGGCTCAAAGCTTTCAAACCTTCTTCTTTACTAAACAACAAGGCAGTTAGGAAGTCAGTCATTTGATGAAGGACACTGTTGTGATGATGATGACGATGATAATTGTGACCATCAAGCAAGAGAACTAATTGATGAACACGATTAAGCGACGTCATTGTATTTCGTTGAATCTTTCCAACTAACTGTATACGACAGTTTATGGTTAAAGGAAAATACCGAAATAACGATGATGATGATAATTAAACTATGTACTACTGATTAATTGACATGAATAGTTGCACACCATTCACACACACACACACATCACCATCGCTACTGGAACAACTTCAAGCAAAGCTTGGAGCCGGTAGGTACCATTCAGAACACTACAGGAGCAAAAATAAAATATATGAATATGCATATATATTCATTTAATAATTTGCTAGCCAATCACCTCATCATCAAAGTTATCTAAACGCTGATGGTGGTTTCGGTTGTTTGAAGCCAACAAACTCATCAGCTGTGTACGCGGTGTGGAATGAAGCTAAAATTAATAGGAATCCATGGTGTTAATCTTGTCTTCTTTTGTTGTTACGTCTTTTAGTCTCCAGCGGGTCTAAATGAAGTGATTATGTTGATTTGTGTGCAGTATCTATTCTGAATAGTATTAGCATTCTATTAGTCAATTTAGAGGCATTCTTCGCTTTTACCTGTGGAGATGAATTTCCTTGTGGTTTCTGAGGCTGGTTTCCTGTTGGCAGTTTGATTCGAGTCTAGATATTTTCTGATGATGTATTTTATAGGGGAATCCGTCTTTCAGAAACACAGTTAATGAAATCCTGATGGATACGTTTTAACACTTCTAAATAAATGTTTATTATACACAGACAGTTTCCTTTGTGTTCTGTCTTATTTAAGTGTTTAATCTCTGTGATGACTTGATTTCCTGCATACTTGTGTTTCATAGATTTCCTATATTTCTTCTCTTGACTAATTTTGTTATCTCATTCTTCTTTCTATCTCTTCAAACACTTTGTGGATGAATTTTTGTAGGTGTATGTCTGCTATATCATTTCTTCTATATCTGAAAAATATATCATCAACATAACTTATCAAGCAAGAATTTTAGCTTAATTATTGGTACAGCTATCGTTTCTAATTTCTGCACAACAGCTTCAGCAAATAGTTATGGATATGGGTGATTCCATAGCCGATGAAAAATGTGATTAAATAGTCGATGTACACACCTAATAAGTCCATCGTTTGAATTCCTCAACGCTAACTTCAGCCTACTCGGAAAAGTGGATACTAGTAGCAGTAGTAGTGAAAGCAATCAACCTGGCCATTTTTATCTTGATACATGACAAATTCCCCTCCCCTGAACAGAATCTACACTAATCACTTTACCAAGGACTAATAAGCAGAGAAGTGTGTGTGTCGTTATTTCAGCTGTAGACTTCTCGCCAGCCCTCTAACGAGGCTTCAATTCCAGCCGACGCACTCTTAACACCTTGTGAAGTTTACTAGCAGCTCGTATGTAATAGACATGAAAAAGATGAGGCATAGTTTGCTCTTCACGCTCTACGAAAACACAACACCATGGCTACTGGAAGAACTTCAGGCAAAGCTTGTCCCATTCAGAAATCAAGGAACAAAACTAAAATATATAAATATAATTTATTCAATAAGTAGAGTGACGCCTTTATATAAAAATATAAATATAATCTACAAAAACCTAATTACAATATAATGATGTCAGGAGGTTAATATAACCCAAAATGATATAAATCACTGATTCACTCTTTAATTTTTACGTTAGCTTTCGTATGGTTGGTTGGTTGTTTGGGGTTATTATCAGTCGCTATTCAACATCAATTTATGCTTTCAACAGTGAATATTTGAATACGAGCCAGTTGTTTCATCACATTGCATAATTAATCGACATCATCACAATCTCTCGAAAAATGTTTTTGTTCAGGGTGTTCAATTCAAAAAAGGTAAGAATAAGTCAAGAGGTTAAAATCGCGTTACAATATTTCCCTTGTTTTAATATTGACTCATTGATGAATCTCGTTGTAGTCGGCTGTAGTACTGACCGGAATTTATATGAACGATAGAATTTCTGAGCAGGCGATTGTTCTTTTCTTTGATAAATTTGCTAAAAGAAAAGAGGTGCAAAGACATGACAAGAACAAATTTTAAAGAAAGTATAGGTTTACACTTATCAATACGGTCAACATAAATAATAATAATAATGATAGTAATATAAATGCAATAATAACTTCGGGATACCTTATTTCATCTCTTCCGGTTCCCACTGGAACTTAGGGTTTCAAGCTTTATCGTTTAAGTTTCAGCAGCAGTGGTGTTTCCTATTTCGAGCGAAGGTTGTTCGCTTGAAATCCAATCTTCGCTCTTTATTGGGCTAACTAGCGGCTACACGAGATACAGGGGTGTGTCGAGGGCTGGCTGTTTCGAATTCCCCCTCTAAATCTGTGATGCAATATAAAGAAAGCTGAAATTGATGGATCGTTAGATCTCATCCCAGAAGGCGAATGCTCAACAAGTACGCCTCGAAGACCTAAGCTCCTGGGTCGGATCCCTAGTCGTGGGATCATGAGTGAGTGCTGATAAAAATAGTAGCCAACCAAGATGTCCAGTATTCCCTTGTGATTCTCAATGATTCACCTAACCGTGAAGTGATTTCGTCATCACTCTCGAAAACTATGAAATCTTTCAAAACTTGAAGACTTCCATTGTGACAAATGGTAGGAATTCCATTCTGTATTACAAGTACTGATTTTAGAATAAAGTAGATGATTATTACTATTATTATTATTATTAATTTCAAATGCAATTCTATGATAAATAATACATCCTTTTCACTCTTAGTGATTCAACCACTTCCATTATTCCTGACCAGTGTTACTCTCTGTTGCAATCAATTACTTCACTATGCTTGTAAAGAAAGTTTGTTGACATCTTTAATTTAATTTATAATTTTTTGTATTATTTAAGTTGTAGCTAACCAGTTGAGAAGAATCCACGAAATAATAATAATAATAATAATAGAAATAAAAGCATGAGCTCAGATTATCCTGGTACATTTGTGGTTCTTGCTCTATTCAAATTTATTAGTGAGAAGAATTGTATGAAATTCAAACACTAAATCAACAAAATGAAAATTATGTTAAGATAATATTTGTAAAAACCCAAAGTTACACTGACTTAAATAAACAAAGGCTGACAAGGTAGATAATTCTGGAAATTGTTCAAAATGAAATTAACAATAACAATCGAAACAACAAGGCAAAGCTATACAAATTGAATAAATAAAACATACAAACAAATAAGTAGGGTCAAAGTACGAAATCGGGATTATAACAGTTTAATAGCAGAGAGGAATTTCGACTGTGATTTTGTAAACATCCTGATGTGAATTTTCCATGTACTTTTTTGGCGAAATATATATATATATATATATATATATATATATGACATGATTTGTCTTATCATTGGACACTGAACGATGATTGGAACGACAAACTCTTTGAATAACTCCACTTATTATCTCGTCACATCTGAAGCCGGACATTATATGCGGGAGAAATGAGTAGATAAATTCGATGTGTAGATGTGATCATCACGAAGGGACAACAGTTCGAGCGAGAATCATCGGATCATTCCAACACGGAAGGTTGAACATACAATGGGCTAATCTCGTGGTCCGAAAGTTCTGAGTGACGTCAAGGCTGTGCACTGCTGAAAAGTCTTGAGGAAACGAGGTTGAAACCGTTGTCCAGTGTACCCTTTGACGATTTCCAGTGACTGTGTCTCTTAAACTGATGATAGTTCCGGACGAAGATTACATTTGAAATTAATAATAATAATAATAATAGTAATAATCATCTACTTTATTCTAAAATCAGTACTTGTAATACAGAATGGAATTCCTACCATTTGTCACAATGGAAGTCTTCAAGTTTTGAAAGATTTCATAGTTTTCGAGAGTGATGACGAAATCACTTCACGGTTAGGTGAATCATTGAGAATCACAAGGGAATACTGGACATCTTGGTTGGCTACTATTTTTATCAGCACTCACTCATGATCCCACGACTAGGGATCCGACCCAGGAGCTTAGGTCTTCGAGGCGTACTTGTTGAGCATTCGCCTTCTGGGATGAGATCTAACGATCCATCAATTTCAGCTTTCTTTATATTGCATCACAGATTTAGAGGGGCAATTCTAAATAAGATATCATGTCAAATGCTTCACCTTTACGGCGTACTTACGATTTGGAGTTTTTTATGCAGCATTTAGGTTGAAATTCTCACGATGTGAGGTATTTCGTTGGGGTGTTCACTGGCTCCTGCCTCCACCACTAGCGTTTCTTGCTAATGATCAGTTGTCAACTGATTATTCGTGGTTTGCAGTTAGTGAATAGCAGTGTCCTTATGATGATCAGGATCCTGAATTAGATTAGCTGGTCAAATGAAAATGTGATGCGAAACCATGAAGTCTTTAACAGATAATTTGAGTTATTTACGAAGATATGAATTGCCTGGTCACCTGAAGAGGTGAAAACGCTAAGATCCAATAGCTGGAGGTATGATCCGAAATCGTCCTCATCGGCAGAAATGCCTCCACTGAATGTGACCTTTGATAGGCATTAAACCTTCAGGGTTTTCAATGTTGCTATTGTTTCTGTGTTAGGTTTTTCTGCTCATGATAGTCGCTTTGAATCTGCGTTTTCTCCATATTCATGTGCAACATGAAATGTGGCAAGCTGGATTGATTACTGCACTCCTGTGCAAAGACCTGCGTTATAACTGAGTTGGGTAGACAAAGATGAATTAATTAGTTACAGTTATTTTATTGACCTGATAGCTAAGTTGTAAATATAGGTAGGTGGGAGAGGGGGGCGTAAATGGAAAGATACAAGTGTGGTGAGAGCAGGCCGTGAGAAAATATGAGCAAGGCTGATTCAACAACCAATCACAGCAAAGTTAACGTGGCAAAATATCATTCGCAGATAGAGAACTCTATTTGTCGAGGAATCCCGAAACAACCAATCAGAAGCCTGCGTTTGTCTGCCTAACTTCTGATAAACAACCAATCAGATGACTGCGCTTGTCTACTTGCATAAGCTATAATAATGTATGTGAAATATGTATAAATACGTGTTGATTTTCATAATAAAACGATCTGTTGCTGGTATATATCCACATATATATATGTACGTGTGTGTGTGCATGTTGGTCTCTCTTTCTGTTTGCTCGGTTAGTCTGTGACCACTTCACTTGTATGGACTTGTCTCCTTTAATAATGTGTATTCTCCTTATATTATATTATATATAATATGAGTGTTTGTTGACAGTCCGTTGCTTGGTGACATATATCCATATATGTTTGTTGGCATGTCTGCTATATTCGCTATGTATATTTGGATCGACACTCCATTATAATTAGCCATTCATGTTAAGACTGTCTAATGATTTTTCCCACGCTTGTCTGAATTATTTATATATATTCGCATTCACAATTTGTGTGAACTACTTTACAACTACTTTACTTACTTACCATTTTGGTGTGAGACCATTTTATTTTCGTCCCCTTGTGTTTGGACAATAGAAGTATCATCGCAAACCTAGTGGTCTTCTGATTTCCGCCTTCTCGCGTCAGGACTATTAATTTCTCGACCAGTCCATAACAATAATTTGGCGACGAGTACATAACAATTTGGCGACGGGGAAAACTAGAACATAACAGTTGCCTTGCCCTTGTCTTCTGTTGTTACACAAGTATAAGATGTATGACTACTTTTTGTAAACCTTGACCGTATTCCACTCGGAACCTAAGGGGATAAGAATCAATAACATGAGGTTTTTTTCAAACAATATCATCGATACAGTATAGGAGTCTTATTATGGTTATACAGTACTGAGTCTATTGTTCTCTTGACATGGCATGGTGCGGTGGAGGAACGAAAAAATATAATAACAATTTTTACAGAGCTTAAATGGTGTTTTATAAAAGGACTAAAATTATTAAGTGGTATATAATAACAGTAAAACTTGTTACAGGGACAGGAAGAAGGTTGGTCAGTTAGTTAGTTACCTGACACTATTTCCCATTACATAAAATACGTGCTAAATTTGGTATCGTGAACTTTTTATACTTACACGTGCGCTCTTTTAAAGTGTTTTGAAATGACTTCTTGTTTTACCTGAGGAGAAACGGGATAAAAGCTAAGGGTAAACTGGCTGCTCACTGTCTGACGAAATCCCTTTAGCAAATTTGTTGCATGTGAAATCAAGTGCCTATCTTTTTGTTTTGATTACAGCTTGATTCCACACCGTTTTTTTTTTTTGGTACGAGTATGGAATTTACAGCATGTTATATCGGTAGCCCAAATTTTGCAGGCCGATCATTGATATCAAGTTTGCGTCGGCAGGGGATCGAACCTCAGATCATGTGCATGGTCGGTGAGAGTCCCAACCGCTGTGTCATTGATGCACTACTATATATATATATATATATATATATATATATATATATATATATATATTCGACTTACTTTGTAAGCAACCATCTCTTTAGCGCGTTCATACGATAACAAGCCTTTACGATCTGATAAATTGTTCTCTTGAATTTGCTGAAATTCATCTAGATAATCTTTTTCAGAGTTTTGCGTACTGATGCATGGTTTCTCTTTTTCATTGAAGTTGATGTCTATTAATGCCTTCTTCATACTGTTACTATTGTTATTATTATTATTATTTGTTATAGTGTTTGAATTCGATGGATCCGTTTTCTTTGGAATACCCACTTCAAGATCGCACTGATTGACTGACTCATTAAAACACTGTTGGTACCAGTTTTCAAACTCTAAAAAGATTAAATGAAATCAAATCAAACTTTAAAAAAAATTATAACAATAAGAACAGTGAGAAAAAAAATATTTTTTCGGCTAATAGAGATCCATTCAAAGAACTGGTAGTTACTAAAATCAATCTTCACATGATAAAAGACGATATGAATTCAAAATTTCTAAAGACAGTGAACGCCTCAGGCATTCATAAATTCAAGACAGACTTTTGTGTCTGAAAAATGTATAAATGTACAATGCGTGTTTCTACCCTAGTCAGAGTGGAATAAACACTTATTTATTTTTCGTTTATGTTTATTTAATTTATTTAATCTATGTACCTTTCTCTCTTATCATTACGACTATAATAATAATAATTATTATTATGTCTTTCAATCCGAACAGTTTTTGGTCTAATTTCACTTATCCCTATTTATTATTTGAATTCAGTACATGTATATTTCACAATGTTAAATTCTTTCATATCAAAGTCCACACCGTTTTTCATAATGTTTTGATTGCCTTCTAACCGTGTGTTAATTTTACAACCCTTTACAAGATCTATAAACTAGGTGAACTAATTTTTTTTTTTTTGATTTTTGATTATATAGCTTGAAACCACACTGTATTTTTGGTTCAGGTATGGAATTTTTCAGCATATCATATCGGTGGCCGAAATTTTGCAGGCCGACCATAGAGATATCAGGTGTGCGTGCGTCGGCAGGGGATAGAACCCTGGACCATGTGCATGGTCGACGAGAGTCCTAACGACTGTGCTATCGAATCACATTTGTGTATCACAAAACCTATTTTGTTGTTACTTGTTACTGAACTGTGATCATTATTATTATTATTATTATTGTTCCTTTGGGTTCCGAATGGAATATAGGGATTCAACAACAACAACACATGTCCACTGTGCTCTGTTTTCTCTCCTGTCCTCTTTAGCTGAACCCATGATTGCCAAAAACTCTTTCATCCCCTCCAACACCCACAATCTTCTACATGTCTACCTCACACCGACGAACCACTCTTCGCTTCCCATTTAGGTTCCACTCTAGGGCGTGACGTGAGATGTCACTCAACTGTCTCCTCAGTGTGTGCCCATGCCGTTTCCACTTTCTCCTACATATTTGTTGAGCGATCGACGCTTGGTGGGTTAATCCCTGGCTAGCTAGAGTTCCATGTGTTGCTAACTCTTTCGGACTGGCCATTGGATCTTCAGTATTCAGTCAGCGAAGTATATCTGTTGATAAAAGCCTGTAGTATCCTGTTGGAAATGCTTATCGTGACGCTCTGGTCAAGAATCAGTGACTTATTTCACATTTGTTTTTGAAAATCTGAATCTTATAGTTTCTGCTGAGTGAGTGAGTGAAGAAGATTTGCAAATTATGATTTCAGACTTTCCAATTCTGGCTGGCTGTCTGACCGTTCCGCTGGCTATGGGGTCGAAACTATGCTGCTTCCTAGATAGATAAGCGGAAGGGGAAGTGACCTCTTTTTGAAGTTTCTCCCGTTGATGGTGGGGTTGGTGCTGGTTGTAATTGTTGTTGGTGTTGGTGTTGTTGTTGTTTGGTTATCTTCATCACCTCCCGTCTTCTTTGTGTTCACTTGGAGTCCTGTCTCTTGAGACTGCCTCTTCAGTCAGTCAGTCAGTTTGATGCTTTTCATCTGTAAGTCTCCGACTTTTTGTTTGACATTCGACATATATCATCATCCATGGGCGAAGTCCAGATCTTCTCGAGTCTTGTCATCGGTGAGTGCAACGTATTTCTGTCTTCTGACTCCGATGCACAGTCTTCTGTGTAATCCAGTCCACCATAATTAGGAATATCATTGTAGGTGATAACAGGCGGCCAGTTTGTCTTACTCCTGCATTCATTCACTTCAAACGTCTCGTTGTGTTTTCCAAACTATGATTAGAATCACAAAAATTCAGTCGCATTTCACATTATTTATTATTATTATTATCATTATGAGAAGCATTCACATGGAATAATTTCACATCGCTCACTGGAAATAGTTTATCTAAAAAAGATCATATGTATACGGTTATACAGTTTGATAATAAATTCGTTTTAGAAGAATCTCTCCGTTGAACATTTTCTACCTAATTTTACAACGGGAATTAATAAATTATAAATATTATTTATGGGGTAATAAAACCTGTCGCATGACTCGAAAGAGGGTCGACTTCTAGGTTAATGAAACGATTGATATTCAAACGAATTTAATAGCCAATCATGATAAAGAACATATGAAATCCCTCCAGATGGCATATACACCTTGCTGACAAGCACGATCCAACGATCTAATAACTAAAAGTCACAATGAACTGTGATATCGAGCCACCTGAAATGGTGGCCACATTGCAAACTTGACTAGTGGAATTCATTCTCTACCAAAAAGCAAAGGACTAGACACATGACGGTAGTTACTGCCTAGTGTCCAGTCAAAGATAGTTATATATCCTTCACGAAGAATTCAAAAAAACAAGCTGACTTCTTAGTAAAGTATGCTGTCTAGTAATGTTGTCTAGAAGGAGAACCATGAAAGCTGACTCACAATTAAACCACAACTCAAATCATAGAACACAACCACAACAAAATTGTGACTTAGTATGTTTTTAGTATTCAGAAATTTATAAAAGGAAGCTGAGAGCCAAAACACACACAAGTTCAGTAAAGAACGTGCAAAAGACATGGCTGTCGTAGTCATAACACCTTAGCGTTTGAAATGGTACATGCAGAGGATTCCAGTTTCAGTGGAGATATCATCGCTTACTCAGTGGACTAGCGTGAATATACTATCAGCTGATAAGTCTCAAGAAGGATGAAAAGCACGTGGGTGGGGATTTCAGTGCTAGCAGCTAACATCAACCAACAAAATATATTTTGCTAACTTATAGATGGTATTGACTAAACCAAATCCTATGCAACAGCTATTCATCTGAGTGTTACTCAGCTGTTGGATATCACTGAATTCAATCCTGCTGTGACTCGGACTCTTGTTTCGTCTTATTTCAACCATCATTAACTTAATCCTACCAGTTCATGGGGAGGAAAAATAATTATTCACAAGTGAAAGTGTGCCTTTCGACAAAGTCCTCTCATTCGCGAACAGAAGGTTTTATCCTTACAACAGTTTTATTGCATCGACAATGAATTTCATCCCGTGAAGATAGGTATCCCGGAAGATTTAAATTTTGCAGGTGGTGTGTATGTGTGTTATTTCGTAGAAACTCGAAAATCTACATACGAAAACTAAAAAGTTATCAGAAGTGATGTGCAGTAAAGACAGGACTTCATGTGAACACAGAAAAGAAAGGGATGATGGAGATATATAACCCACCCAGCATCATTCGCAGAAATCTAAAGGGTTCCTACCTTAAATATAAGAGGAGAACTTGGTCACTGTGGTAGGGTATAATTTCACTACACAGAGAGTTTATTCGACAAAGTTTCAGTGTTATACAGTAATATTTTTGATGACACTTCCAACACAGTTTATTATATCATCAGACAGGCCTTCGATTAGATACTAAACAGGAGGTGACCAATTGGGCGTGGCAACATAGGTGACATGCAGGAGATGATGTTGTGGGGAAATGAAAGCTTAAGAGCAATTATGGAGGGAAATAAAACAAACCGCAGACGGCAAGGTGAATTGAAGATTCCCCCCCCCCCGTCTGAAACCTATGTTACATTCAGGATCCCATGGACGAATAAATAAATAACTAAATAAAATACACAGGATATAGACAGTCGTTGAAAAGCACAGAAAAAGAGAACTCTGGAAATCTCTTTCACATCTTTACTCACAACTCCAATGCAGTGTTTATGCATGACTCTGTACGAGAGAGATAATGCATAACCTTGTAATCTAAACGTGAGCATATTGCCATTGTCACAGATAGTAGACTTCATGAAATCGGATGAATTGGCGAGATATTCATATATATATATATATATATATTCCACACCACTATAAAGTGCCATGTGGATTGAAGACAGATATTTTCAAAACTTTAATATAAAGAGATAGATATTCAGCGATTCTGTTTGGTCTCCTCCATTCAGGCCAGCTCTCTAGACTATTTCAATTTCATAACAAATTCCAAACATGTTTTTATCAGATTTGAATTTATTATATTTTCATCATATTTAATCGAAACATGATTATTGCATTTAATGATAATATTAATAATCTTTTTGGTAGCGTAAATTTAAAAATGAAAATGTCTCTGTTTAAATGTTTAAAACAAAAATAAGCAACAAAAATCAAATTCCATGTTTGAAAACCTGTAAAGATTTATGTTTACTGACTGAGTTTTAATTCACCCGATATATGTATATACAAGTAATTCAGTGTTAGTGCATCACGAAAGGTATTTCTAAAAGGCTGGCAGACTTTTTACTAACTTCTGCCTTCACTGCATACTGAAGATCAGCTGGGCTAGCTGGGGTCTCTGTCATGGGACTTGCCAAGAACCTGTCAACCAAAGGAAATGAAAGTGGACTCGACATGCATTCAGGAGACCGTTGGACATGGGTCTAAGGATATGAAGTCGAAAAGATTACGCGAAGGACAGGAAACAGAAGCTTGTAGGCAATCGTGGAGCTAGTCGAAAGTAAGGCCAGATCACCAGGTAGAATGGAAGTGTTCCGGCAAAGCCATGTATCCGACTTGGAATATAAAGGAGGAACAGTAATAATAATAATAATAATATCAGCGTTTTCAGCATTCAGGCTATTAAATAGGCGCAAAATCTATCACACAGAGATTAGTCGTCCTGAACTAGTAAAACACCATTCAAAAACAGCGCAGAGCAAAATAACTAAAAACTGACAGGATGATTTCAGCATGAGACTATAAGAGTAAGTAACTGAATAATGACCTTTAGCAGAAATAGATTCTACAAAGTTTTAATAAGTGAATGCGGCTGTATTGATAAGATGCATTTTCGCGGCTGTCACATTTAACATTGATAACCATTTAGTCGGGTAGATTACGTCTCCAA